TTTAAAGTTTTTAAGGAACTACCATACTGTTTCCATAGTGGTTGCTCCAGTTTACAGTGCCATCAACAGTGCATGAGGGCTCCCTTTTCTCCACATTCTCACCAACACTTGTTATTTGTTGTCTTTTTGATGTATCCATTCTGACAGGTGTGAAGTGATATCTCATTGTGCTTTTGATTTGCATTTTCCTGATGATTAGTGATGTTGAGCATCTTCTCATGTGTCTGTTGGCCATTTGAATGTCTTCCCTGGGGGGGAAAATGTTTATTCAGGTCCTCTGCCCATTTTTAAATCAGACTTTTTGTTTTGTTGATATTGAGTTGTGTGAATTCTTTGTATATTTTAGATATTAACCCTTTATTGTATATATCATTTGCAAATATCTTCTCCCATTCAGTAGGTTGTCTTTTCATTTTGTGATGGTTTCCTTTGCTGTGCCAAAGCTTTTTAGTTTGATTAGGTCCCATTAGTTTATTTTTACTTTTGTTTCCCTTGCCTGAGGAAAGAGATACAAAAGCATATTGCTGAGACCAGTGTCAAAAAGTATACAGTCTATGTTTTCTTCTAGGAGTTTTATAGTTTCAAGTCTTACATTTAAGTCTTTAAGTCATTTTGAATTTATTTTTGTTCATGGTGTGAGAAAATAGTCCATTTTGATTCCTTTCATTTAACTTCCAGTTTTCCCAGCATCATTTATTGAAGACTGTGTTTTCCCCACTGTATGTTCTTGGCTCCTTAGTTGTAAATTAACTGCCCATGTAAGTGTGGGTTTATTTCTGGGCTCTCTATTCTGTTCCATCGAACTATGTGTCTAGTTTTGTACTAGTATCATAAAGTTTTGATTACTGTAGCTTTGTAGCATAGTTTGAAATCAAGGAGTATGATACCTCCAGCTTTGTTCTTTCTCATGATTGCTTTGGCTATTCTGGGTCTTCTGTGGTTCTATACAAATTTTAGGGTTATTTGTTCTACTTTTGTGAAAAATGCCAAAAATGTATTTGGATAGGGGTTGCATTGAATCTGTAGATTGCTTTGGGTAGGAATATTTTAGCAATACTAATTCTTCCAATCTATGAACATAGAATATCTTTCCATTTACTTGTATCTTCAGTTTCTTTCATCAGTGTCTTAGTTTTCCAAGTACAGGTCTTTCACCTCCTTGGTTAAATTTAATCCTAGGGGGCTTCCCTGGTGGCGCAGTGGTTGAGAGTCCGCCTGCTGATGCAGGGGACACGGGTTCATGCCCCGGTCCGGGAAGATCCCACATGCCACGGAGCGGCTAGGCCCGTGAGCCCTGGCCGCTGAGCCTGCACGTCTGGAGCCTGTGCTCTGCAACAGGAGAGGCCACAACAGTGAGAGGCCTGAGTACCGCAAAACAAACAAACAAAAATATTTAATCCTAGGTATTTTATTCATTTTGATGCAATTGTAAATGGAATTGTTTTCTTCATTTCTCTTTCTGATAGTTTGTTATTAGTGTACAGAAATGTAACTGAATCTGTATATTGATTTTGTATCCTGCAAATTTATTGAATTCGTTTATTAGTTCTAATAGTTTTTTGATGGAGTCTTTAGGGTTTTCTATGTATAGTATCATATCATCTGCAAATAGTGACAGTTTTATTTCTTCCTTTCCAATTTAGATGTCTTTATCTCTTTTTCTTTTCTGATTGCTATGTCTAGGACTTCCAGTACTGTGTAGAATAAAAGTGGCAAAAACGAATATCCTTGTTTTGTTCCTGATCTTTGAGCCATCTTCACCATTGAGTTTTCACCATTGAGTATTATGTTAGCTGTGCTTTTGTCATAGATGGTCTTTATTATGTTGAGGTATTTTCCCTCTATATGTTCTCTGTCTCTCTCTATGTCTTTCTCTCTCTCTCTCTCCCCTCCTTCTGGGACCTCTATAGCACAAATGTTAGTATGCCTGATGTTGTCCCAGAGGTCCCTTAAACTAATCTCTCTTAAAAAGAGAGATTTCTTTTTTGCTGTTATGATTGGGTGATTTCTAATACCTCATCTTCCAGATTGCTGATCTGCTCTTCAGGATCTTTTAATCTGCTGTTGATTCCCTTAATGTGTTCTCATTTCAGTCATTATAATCTTCAGTTCTGATTGGTTCTTTTTTATATTGTCTATATTTTTGTTGAAGTTCTCACTGAGTTCACCCCTTCTTCTCCTAAGTTTGGTAAGCATCTTTGTGAGTATTACTTTGAATTCTTTTCTGATAAATTGCTTATCTCCATTTTGTTTAGTTCTTTTTCTGGAGTTTTGTCTTGTTCTTTCACTTGGAAAGTATTCCTTTGTCTCCTCGCTTTGCCTAACTCTTTGTGTTTGTTTCTATATATTAAGTAGATCAGCTCCATATCCTAGTCTTGAGAGAGTGGCCTTATGTGTGGCACAATTCCCCATGGTCACCAGAGCCAGTTTTTCCCGGGGTTTCCCCTGTTTGGGCTTCATGCACCCTCTTATTGTGGTTGGGCCACAGTTGCTGTGGGCACACTGGTTGAGGGGGCTGGCCCCAGGCCTGGCTGGCTGCATAGCTTGGTTGTGACTGCTGTAGGTGTGCTGTGGGTCACTTGGGGTGACCCCCAAGTGGGAGCTTCTTGGAGGGGGTGCTGATGCTGGCCAAGGTGGCTCACCAGGTTGGATGGGGTAAGAGCCACTTTGGAGGGGCACCAGTGCCAGCTCATGCCACCTGCCCGATGGAGTGGACATGGAGTGGCTTTTGAGGGGCCTTCCAAGTTGGGTCCTCTAGGGAATGTTGGGGCAGGGTACACTGTGTTAGCTAGGTTGACTGAAAGTAACAGAAATGGTGCCCACCAGTCCTGGCCCAGCCAGCTAGGTAGCAGAAGAGTTAAAAAAATAAAAAGGTGCGCACAAGTGCTTCTGCCACTGGAGAAAGTTCTGCCAGATCCCTGCCCCTCCAAAATGTGTCCTAATATTAGTCAATGAATTTCCTTCTTGTACGACTCAGGTGTTTTTCAAGCTGTTGCCTCTCTATTGGGACCAGGAGCAAGTGAGTTTGTACACAAGCATTGTCTGCAGTTTCCCGCAGTCCTCTGGCTCTCCCGGCCCTAAGCCCCACTGGTTTTCAAAGCCAGACATTACGGAGGCTTGTCTTCCCGGTGCAAGAACCCTGGGCTGGGGAGCATGATGTGGGGCTTGGACCCCTCACTCCCCAGTGGGGACCTCCACAGTTGTGATATCCCTCCCACTTATTAGTTGCCTTATCGGGGGTGTGGGCTCTGATTAGACCATGTCTCTGCCCTCTTACCCATTCCCCACATGGCCTTTTCTTTATAGCCTTAGTTGTAGAAAATCTGTTCTGCTAGTCTTTAGGCTGTTCTCAGAGATAGTTTTTCTATACGTAGTTGTAGTTTTGGTGTGTCCATGGGAGGAGATGAACTCAGGATCTTCTAACTCCCCCATCTTGAGCTGAACCTTAAAGGCTTTTCTTATGAGATAAGTGGTGATGTTAACAGATATGATTTTTTTTAATATTCTGTGATGAAATGTGTTAACATTTGGAAAATCTGCATAATTCAGTAAACGTATACTTTTCAAATCACCACTGCTTGATGTTGCAAAATCATGTGTAGGTAAAAGATCCATTCAAAGTTTAAGACAGATGCATGAACTTTAATGTAACAGAATAAAAAATTCATTTATATGGATTATACCATTAACCCTTAAGAAACTTCTATTTGTTGAGTTTTGGTACAGTATCAAACAATAGTCACAATTATCTGAAAAGACTATGAAAACACATCTCCCTTTTCTAACTACTTATCTGTGAGAGGCTGGATTTCTTCATATGCTTCAACCAGAACAGTTGGATTCTTCAACCAGCTGACTTTTATTAAGCCAGAGATTTAAAAAAATATAAAATAAGCTTACTTTTCTCACTAATTTTTTTGTTTGTTTTGGAACATAGTTTTCCCTCTAAAAATCGTTGCTTCTGTTAACATGTCATTAAGATTTTTATTATGTTAAAATGAGTAAATACATACCTTAAATTCCTCTTTTAATTTTGAATACACTGTTAATATAAAACTCATATAAACAAAATCTCTGTGGGGTCCTCAAAATTTTTTAAGTGCATAAAGTGCTCCTGAGACCCAAAAGTTTGGGAATTGCTGTTCTAACCCAAACACTCTTATAATGTTGAGAGTTTTAGAACTTGTTTGTAGCAAGAGGGGTGGGAATCATAAATATTTGGGGCTTTTATTATTGCACTAATTGCATAATAGAAGTAACTGCGTTTGATCAGCATTGGCTCTGCTTTAATACCATTTCTAGTAACCAAGGCATTTCTCACCTATCATTAATGAAGTAAGCTGAGCTGGGAAAGTAGACTAGAGTGAAATAAAATTTACCCTTCTCTTGGTCACATTCTGTACCATTTAATGACGCTTTGTAATATTTATTTAGAAAGTCGGTCTACAAAGTACATTCACACTCATTTAATTTTCATTAACAATATTTTATCGCCATCCTCAATTTACAAATGAGGCAAAGAAGTTGTAATTATCTAAAGATCATATGGTCAGAAATGTGTAGAGCCACATATAGTACACAAGGGAGCATGGCACAGAAGAAAGAATGCGTTCCTCAGGATTAAGAGCTTAACTTGAATCTATGTCCATTGCATAGCTGGTAACCAGGTTTGTGTCTCAATCACGTTTAAGTCAGTTGCCATATTTTCCCTTCTGAAAAATGGGTAACATAATACCTATGTTATCAAGGAGCTATGAGAATTAAACTAGGTAATATATATAAAGTACTTGCTCTATGGAAGAGTCTCAGTAAATGGTAGCTCACTCTCGAGAGTTCTGGAAAGGATCATTGCCATGGTTTGCTGATAACTGGACCCTTGACTCTTTATAAATATCAAAAATATGTGGATCATATTAGTTGCTCTTAAGCCAACAAGTTAAGTGGGAGAGGCAGTAGATAAGAAGACCATGATTAACTTATTTTGTGAAATCTTTTTGTATGTGAGTTCCTAAAAAGGCTAGAAGAAAAGGAAGCTCTGATAAACCAACTTTCCAGGGAAAATATTACCTTCACTCTGCAGATTCAAGACCTGAAATGGCAATTGGCAGAAGAGACCAAAGTAATGCATCTATTGTTTCTCAACAGGAGCTTGACTGTATGTTAAAAAAAAAAAATAGTGCTTGCTAGGTCAGCCTGAATATCTTCTCATATAAAAGAAGGGGGGAAAGTGCCCCAGAAGTTATGGAAAAAGATGTGTTGGATCTTATACGTGCCAGGAAGGACTCTGATCACTGAAGGAACATCCTCAGTAATTTAGATCACTTCTCTAGTTTGTCAGATTTAGAGCAAACAAAGTATGCATTTTCATTTCGCATTATTGCTAGAACAGAAAGTCGGCAAAGTTCTTTATGGGTCTTTGATTCTGAATTGCACAAAGAAGTGGAATTAAATAAAAGAGCAGGATAAAGTGAATGGGGCTGGATTAGCTCAATATTATTTTCAAATTGTCGATATATTATAAATATTAGTCATTTCTTCCCAAGAGAATATATGATGTTGCTCGCAGGTGACCACAGTGAAAGTGGTTCTTTAATGTTAAAGCATAGTGACTAAGATGAGAGATGGATTTTTGAGCCCTGGTATTCAAGTCTGTTCTTAGTTCATATTCAAGGCCTCTTTCTTACTAAGACCCCAAAAGACTTCACTTGCATATAATCTCACTGCAACTCTTCAGACTTCAGTTTTTAAATGTTTTATTTTATTCCTTCCACTCTCCTTATTTTCTATATCATATGTACATTTTCAAATTGCTGTCATGATTTGTGCATCAGACATCATGCTAGACGCTTCTCTCATGCCATATAAACCTTCATATATATAAGTCATATGAAACTGGTAGAATTATATTTTTTTACATGAAGTAACCAAGGCTTTGAGAAGACAACTCATCCAAGGTCATACAGCTGGTAGTATACTGTGAAGGAAGTTTAGCAGGTTGTGAAATGACTAGATTTATAGTTTAGAAGATCTCTCTGGCTGACTTCCCAGTGGCTTCCAACTGGCATACGAGGCCCCCTTTCTTGGCTCCGGCCTCTTTTTGTGACCTTACCTTCCACAGCTGCCTCTGTCATTTACTCCCCTCCAGTCACCCTGGCCTCCTTGCTGCCCCTTATACAAGCTGTCATCATTCAGGCCTTAGGACGTTTGTAGCTGCTATTCCCACTGTTTGAAGGCCCTTCCCCAAGGCCTTTGGGGGATGATGAGAAAGAACCAAACATTCCTCATCATGTCAATCTGTTTTATGTTCTCAGTGCAGTCAGCAATTTTATTTAGTCATTTTTGTACATGTTGGTTTTACATATCCTCTTACTCCTTTTAGCTCCGTTGGACAAAGGCTTTGTCTCCATCTCTTTTACTTCAGTTAACACTATTGCTTAGAACAGGCGCTCAATAAATATATATTAAATAAGAAGAAGGGTAGCAATTTGAAGCCAAGTTTCCCAGATTCCAAATCCTGTGTCCTTCTTAGGGTCGCTATGTATTATTGCTCCTCATTCACTGCCCAAAGGTGTCTGCCTGAGGCTGCCATTAACCAAGCCTTGTGCTTTCAGAGCTGCATCTACCTAAGAAGATCCTGTTTCCTAATTTACATTAAGGACCCATGAGGACTGGCAGCGACCCTGGTTCTTCACACTAGACTAGGTTATCTCTTGGCAATGATGTTGCTAGGTTAACCAGACCACCCCTTAAGTGCCAACAGTAGTCATTAAACTGAGCTCTACTGTCCAGTAAATACAGCAGCCACTACTACACTACAGGTGGCTACCTGAATTTAAATTGACATTAATTAAAATTAAATAAATTTAAAATTCAGTTTTGACTGAATTTGACCTTGTTTGGGGCACATTTTGAGTGTTTAACAGCCACGTGGCTAGTGTTTACCATATTGGCAGTGTACATATAGAATATTTTCATCACTATGGAAAGTTCTATTGGATAGTACTGCTTTAAAGTTTTTAGGGATTTACATGTGAAATTAAAGGTTCTGTTCTCCTTATGAATAGAATGAAAAGGCTAGACAAAACTCATTGGTCCTTTCTAGTCCAAACAAGATCTAACTCTTGTATATTGCTAAATATAAATCTGATTACCTAAATGATGGTGAGCGTTCCTCTTGCTACCGTTGCATTCTGCACTATTTCTAGAACTCCAGGCCTGTCTATTGTTGAAGCCCACATAGTCAGGCTGGCATTTCCCTAAATAGAACCCTCTTCCTTGTTGTAATGGCAGCACTTAGATACTCTCTCCTTTCTCTTCTTGTCCCAAATTCTCTCCCTGGTATCATCTTACGAGGTTCAGGTTCGGCTTGCATTTGTGACAGGTGGTTATTAACCTTATCTAAAAAAGATGATGTCACCTCCAAGCCTTTCATTGTTTGTTAATGGCCGTGGTGCCTTTTTGTAACATGTGTTGTGTCCCCTGCAGTTACAGAGCGCCCTGGCCCAGGCCGTGAAGTCGGCCAAGCGTGACTGTGACCTGCTATGAGAGCAGTACCAGGAAGAACAAGAGGCCAAGGCTGAGCTTCTCTGGGCCCTGTTCAAAGACAATGCTGAAATTGTTAAGCGGAGAACCAAGTATGAAGACGACACCATCCGGAGCACTGAGGACTTGGAGGATGCCAAGTGAGTGGGGCAGGGCTGCACAGAGGACTCTGAGAACAGTGACTGTGTCTTCGAGGCCACATGTGTACACTAAGCTAATCCTCACCAAGTGTGTGAACTAACCCAAGACCAAAGCTGAAACAGCCACCACTGGCAAGAAGCACATGCTCTAGAGGGGTTCAAAAATGAAAATTATAATACAGAGTGACAAAGACTAGAGAGAAGTCCTGGGGGAAAAAAAGAGGTTATTTCTAGGGGTATGAGGGAAGTCTTCATAGATGTGACTTTGAACTAGGGTTTGAAAGTAGGCTAGCATGAAAATCCTGTGTTTCATTTGGAACGCCAAAATAATGGAGTCCATGTGTGTACATGTCTCCGTACCTTAAAGTCATCATGTCTCTGGTCTACAACTTGTACACTACAAAGTGGTCTGTGAAGGTGGACAGGGGCAGCTGGAAACGTATTAGGATTTGTCATCCTGCCTATGGGACAAAGGTTTCTTTGAAAAGAAAACACTTTGGGGTCACCTCTAAGGTTAGGATATCGGTTTTATAGCCAACACTACATAAAGGCTTTAGAAGTTCTTCTCAGGAACTACAGAAGTTTGGGGCCCACATGAATCAAGACTTAGTACCAGGATGTAGTTCTAAAGCATTTTGCTCAGAGGTCAAAGGACTGTGTGTCTTTGAGAGAAAGTGTCAAACCATCCCCAGCTTATAATCATTAAAGGTTGACTCAAAAGAGTGTATCCCCGGCTTGGTAGCTTGGCAGAAATTCAGGGCAGATCAATACATTTCTCTTTAGCATCAACCAAAAATATTATTTTTTCAGTTCTTCACCTAAATCTTTGAAAGGCATTGCTGTGCACGTGCTGAACAGCTGCTGTGTTCTGTCCCTGAAGGGGTACCAAGCAATCTGTCTCTGTAGCCACAGTAACTTAAAAAGGGCTTTGGGATGACAGATACTAAAAATACCTGCAGTAAATGTGTTCAAAACTCTGGACTGCAGAAAAGTGGGGCTTTGAACTGAAATGGCGCCTCATATCCAAAATATGGCATTTGCTTCTAAAGTAAGATTTTTTTTTCCTAATAATTGAAGAATTCTGGTGAAAGTGTCTACCAGTCATTCTGTTTGAAGGTTTCTTAGGGAGGGACAGAAAAGAGGGAAAGTATATAGGTTACTTATGACCACATGGATTTCTTGGAACTAACAAATTGTGGTCCAGTAGTACATGACAACTGAAGAGAAATGATGGGCAAATGAGATAATATCCAAAGACTTTTTTTTTTTTTTGCTTTAAACTTAGCTGAACATCAAATAAATAAAGCATTGTCTGTATTATGATTTCCCACTAAAACCCCTAAGGGACGTGGAACTGCAAAAAAAAATCTAGGATTCCATTTTTTTTAATTGGAAAGCTGAGGATCTGTCTACTTAGATTTCCAGGCTGGGATTCACATGATGACTTAGTTTAGTGGAATCAAGCTCCCCTGAGACCCCATTTACCGCTTCTGAGTTCCCCAAGGATAGGAATCTGATTTCTTCATCTCGTACACCTTCTTGCGTATTCTAGGAAACTACATAGATGCTTATGGTTGGCAAGTTGAGCAGCAAAATTGTAGCTGGTAGTAAATGTAGAGCAACGTTATCCATCAAATGAAGGTGATCAATTGTCCAGTTTGCCCTGGACTTGCCCAGTTTGAGCACTGATAGCCCCGTGTCCTGGTACAACCCCTCAGTCCCCCAGCAGTTGGTCACCCAAAGTGAAATTCCTATTTTCTGGTTCCAACTGAGCATTTCTAAAGTAGTTAAAATGTGTGTAATTATTTTACAAGACTCCTGTTTTAGGTGGGATAAAGCATCAGAATCTCCTTTTTTTTTCTCCCTTATTGAGGTATAATTGACATATACCATCGTGTAGGGTGTACAGGTAAGGTGTAGAATGTGATAATTCGTTATATGCACATGTTGAGAAATCTTTGCCACAGCCTGATTAGCTAACACTCCTTTACCTGCTACATTACCATTTTAGTGTCGTTATGGTGAGAACGCTAAGGCTCTATTCTCATAGCAACTCTCACATATAAGATACAGTATTATTATTTTTTTATAAATTTATTTATTGTTGGCTGCGTTGGGTCTTCGTTGCTGTGTGCGGGCTTTCTCTAGTCGTGGCGAGCGGGGGCTACTCTTTATTGCGGTGCACGGGCTTCTCATTGCGGTGGCTTCTCTTGTTGCAGAGAACAGGCTCAGCAGTTGGGGCTCATGGGCTGCAGAGCACAGACTCAGTAGTTGTGGCGCACGGGCTTAGTTGATCCACGGCATGTGGGATCTTCCCAGACCAGGGCTCGAACCTGTGTGCCCTGCATTGGCAGGCGGATTCTTTAACCACTGTGCCACCAGGGAAGCCCACAATACAGTAATATTAATGATAGTCACCATGTGGTACAGAAGAATCTCTTCTTACCAGTTAAGAAAAATGAAGCAAAGATGTGAAGTGACTATGGTTAGAAAGCCAGTGAGCTAGGAGTAGTTGTTAGAGCCCAGGTCTTTCTTAGAGCACAGACTGGTTTTTGCAGGATTCCACCAAAAGGGGGCTTTATGAGCACAGTGCTCTGTTGGGCTGCTGTGTGGAACATGTTAATTCCTGAGGATCTTTTTCTGTTTAATAACTGGAGATTGGAAAAAGCTTTGGTACATACAGTACCTTTCATCTAAGAGGTGTGATGAATGAGTAAGAATGGGACTGCCAGTGTCCCTGCAGGAGATGGGAACAAGAGAACACTTTGCATCCATAAGGAAGCGTATGAGCATTGTAAGGACGGCAGAGGAAGCATTTTAATAAGCCACTGCATCTCAGAGGATTCTGGAGGGAGGACAGACAGGGGCTAAAGTACCCCCGACAGCAGTAGGACCTGATAAGTGAGCATAACGTTGGGATGGATGTGGGTATATAAATTTGGGAAGAGGAGCTGAGATGGAGAAGAAATTCAGAGAAAAGATACTCGGGCATGTTTAGGAGTCCCATGATGAGAGGGGGAGACTGAGCAGGAGAGAGCCAAAGAACGCTGCTTGGAAGCAATAAAGCCAAGGAGCTCTTTAGAGACTAGACGTGCCCCAAGACCTTTAACGGTTGCTTACTGTTGGGTGTTCAGTGCCATCTTTCTCTTTCTCCCATTTCTTATGAAGTCTTCGATAAAGTCTGTATTGCTTACTTAAGGTTCAGGGGAAGCAGGTACTTACAGGGATTCAGAGGTTCTGAGTGTCAAGTCCCGGCTGGCAAAGGGTGGGGAGGGAATAAAGGACATGGGGACACAGAAGCCAGAGTGTGGTGGTCAGCAGACATCTGGCTTCCACAGGCACAAGGAGGTCATTGTCAGGCACAAGCTCCTTCCCCTTCAGACTATGAAGCCACCCTCAGGAGCCCCCCCACCCCCCATTTGTACCCGAGTGCTGTGTTTAATAAGGACACACTGCACGAGCTCTCTGAGGGTTGTGGCTTCACTCGCCCTTTGGACCTCCCCTTCTCAGGAAGAAGCTGGCAATTCGGTCGCAGGAGGCTGCCGAAGCCATGGGGGTGGCCCATGCCAGAAGGGCCTCCCTGGAGAGGGCCAGGCTCTGACCGCAGCTCGAGTTCGGGGACACCCTGTTGCATCGTGGGAAGGCGCACCGTGCGGCCGCTGCGCTGGACCAGCGGCAACAGCACTTCGACCAGTGCCTGGAGGGCTGGAGGCGGGAGCACGAGTAGCCTCAGGCGATGCCAGACGCCCCGCAGAGGAGGCCGGGGGCCCTCAGCGCCCGGCTCCTCAAGCTCAGGCACACCTACGAGGAGAGCGCCGCGAGTCAGCGGACCCTCCGGAGGGTGAACAAAAACCTGAAGGGTACGTTGCCCTGGGAACCGGAGCAGGGGCCCCGGGAGGGCCCTGCGCCAAGGGCAAGGCTGCCTCGATGCGCAGAAGCCTCAGCATCGTCCTGGCCTCGCTTGGGTCTTAACTTTTCCGTTTTGAATACTAACTTTGGCTTTTGTCTCTTTTTTTAAACTACAGGTACTGTTTTCATTAAAGGCGTTCTAAACACAAGAGTACTTTCCTAACTTTAGCCCCAGTTCCTGTCCGCAAAGGAAGCCTATTAAGAATTTCTTTATATCCATAACCTGCATAATATGCGTACAGGTATTTTTTACTTAAATTACACGTTATTCTATACCTTTTATTTTTTCCATTTATTAACTTATTTTCTAATTTAACAAATATCTCTATAGCCCATACTACGTGCCAGGCACTGTTCTATATATAACTATTCATTGTTTAAGTCTCAGAACAGCCTTATGTGTTAGTTTATCTGTAAAATGCAGATTAGATTGAGTCATTTCAGGTTAAGAACTTGGCCAAATTCGCATTTGATAAGTAGCAGATCTGAGGTTTGAGCCCAGCCAGCTTGATTCCGGCATATACACACTTAACTATGGGCTCTGCCACCTCCCATGTGCCTGTAGCTGGAGCCCTACCAAGTGACTGTTATTAGCGACACAGTGTTTTATGATAAGGCTGACTAACACGTTTAACTAGACCTTATTAATTTTAGATAAAATTTTTCACAATTATAAATAATCCTATATTGTACATCCGTGTACAATGGGGGCGTGTACAAATATTTCAGTAGGGTAGATTCCTAGAAATGAAATTGCAGAATTAAAGGAGTTTTCAATTTCTGAGATATTGCCCAGCAGCCCTTCAAAGAGGCTGCCAACTTATACCAGCACCAACAGTGATGTGCATTCCAACCCTGAGATGCCCTGGGAGTAAGTTCATTACTATTGGAGGCATAAATGAAACTTGCTTTCTCTGTTGACCTACCTAGTCCATGAGCAGGTCACTGACTGGGCCTGTGAGAGGTGCTGGAACAGTTAGAAAACTTTCATGGCATCTGAACCACCTGGAGGGCTTGTTAAAACACGGTTGGCTGGGCCCCACCATCAAGAGTTTCTGATCCAGTAAGTCTAGGAGGGGGTCTAAGAGTTTGTATTTCTAAGAAGTCCCCAAGCGAAGCTGGTGCTGTTCGTGTGGGGACCATACTTGCTCTGGGCTGGAGCCTGGGAAGAAGTCTTTTTCAAAAGCTCTCTGAGTGATTCTAAGGTATGGTCAGAATAGAGAACCACTGCCTTGAGTTTGCTCCTGGGAGCCCCTCTTGTGGAGAGGCTTTATCAGAGAAGGATTTATTATTCACATGAGAATTGCCATCTCATGGGTTTGTTTTTGTAACTAAAAAATTCTTGTCACAGCCTATCCTAGCTGGGGATCTCAGAGCCAGAGGAGTGGTCAAGCTCCTGAATTCCTTCCACTGCCTCTGGACTGTGGGTATTCCCAGAGCACTTGGCCCTGCTCCACACACCTCTTAGGCTGCAGAGGCTTCCTTCATGAACAGGCGGAACTGACGGTAACAGTGTCAGGTGCTGGAGGTTTTGTCACTTCTGGCTGCCTTGCTCTTTCAGAGACGTGTGTTCATCAGAGAGTTCACGCATTGGCTTCTGGCAGACAGTGACCCAGCTTATGCTGTAAGTTCCCATTCTGGTGTTGAGCGACAGCTGACACAGTGGCCGCCACCAGTGTTGATAGCTAAGCTCTTCCACTGGAATAGTGATTCCAGGGCTGGGCCCTAGAGCCCCACCGGGCAATATCTGACATGGCTCTGACAAGCAGGACCGCCATGTACAGTCGCACAGGTTGTTCAATGCACAATACTCTAAGAAACACCATCCTTACCAGCTGTTGTAGGCAACTTTGTGGCAGATGCCAAAAGAATGCTTTGAAGAGGGGATTCTTTTTTCTAATTCAAACAAACGTCCCATATGTGCCAGCGGTGGCCTTGCCATCAAGTTACCAAGGATGGCATGACCAGGGTCCCAGTGGGCCTCTGGGAACAGTCTCTTTTGGCTGATATCATGGATCTGAGACTGGTTCTTTTCACTAACTTTGTTTTTCATCCCTCTCCAGAAGAGATTTCTAATCTGAAAAATCAGTTGAAAGTAGGAAAGAAGAACTTAAGTGAAATGGAAAAGGTCAAGAAGTAGATTGAACAAGAAAAGACTGAAGTCCAAATGGCATCGGAAGAGGCCGAGGTATTACCTCCAGGGAACAAAGCAAGCTTCCATCACTGTGACAGTGCAGAAGACCTGCATTCTAGTCACAACAACAGCAAGAACACGCTTATAACCCTTGACCCTTATTCAGGGGTTAACTGCCTGCTAGGCACTATGCCGGGCTCTTTGTATGCACTATTTTATGTAATCACCCTAGCAAACTATTGTCCTCATTGTACAAATGAGGAAATCGAGGCTAGGGGAACAGGATAAACAATCGTGGATGCAACTCTCTTGATTATAAAGAAAACAAGAACCATGTCTATCTTGTTCCCTAATTTATCCCCTGTACCTAGACCTTCACTACCCTAAACGTGGCCTGTGGACTGGTTGCATGGGCATCACCGGGGAGCTTGTTAGAAATTCAGATTCTCAGCCTCTCTCCAGCTCTGTTGGATCAGAATTTGAATTTTAACAAGATCCCTGGGTGGTTCATATTTACCCTAACATTTGAGAAGCACTGGACTAGAACATTGCCTGGCATACAGTAGCGGTTCAATAAATATTTGTTGAATGTTGAATAGCTAAATATCCTCATACCTTCCCCTCTCTTTAAATAAAATCAGTCGACACACTTTTTTTTTTCTTGCAAAAAAAACTTTAGGCAGTTTGAAAAATGAATTCAAAGCAATGTTCTCAAACATTTATTGCTGAAAGCTCATCTTTGTGTGGGTTGACAGGAGTGTTTTCAGTGTTATGGATTAAAAGTTCAGGAAAAATCTCTGACTTGATCCCTAGGTGTGTGCTGGTGATTGAAAGGACCCCTGAGAAAATCTTTTTGCCAAAGAGGGTGAACTCAGAAGGAAGTTATCCTGTCACGGTCATTAAGTAGTCAACAAGGCCTACAAAACCTCTTTTCTCGCAGCTGAATTTCATTTTCTTGACCTACCCTTTGACTAAGCACCCAGGCACATTAAAAATACATCCCTCACCCACTCACCCTCCAACAGAGACAATAATTTTTAAAAGGCACAGCAAGTCCATTTCAGGCACGGGCCTTTTGAAAGGTGTGATAATGAAAAAATTAGACCCCAGAGGATTGCTCTGAGTCAAGCAATGTCCGATCAATTTATCTCACCACCACATTTCTGTAAGAAATCTACCAGACAGAAGATGTGTCAAGTGGACCGCTCTTGACACAGCTGTCTTTTTATGCAAATTGTTTTCTGAGGCCTCTACATTTTATGTAGAATCCTTTCAGTTGGCAGTGTGGTGTCCCCTAATAAGGCCGGTCCTCATAAAGTGGATGACCTTTGTCTCATTCACTTGTTCCTTTTGTTCCCCGTCGGTTCTCTGGCCACCCTGGCTAGGGACTTTCTAAAGCCACCACCTTAACCCAAAGGAGTAACTTTTATGGTGGAAATTTCAAGCAACATGAGAAGCCAATGAGAGCTGTGATTGGGCGGGGCAACTTTAGTCCTATATAACGTATAGACTAACATCTTTGTATGTTAAATTGAGCTGCCCGTTGAAGGTGAGACGACTAAGGCCACAGCGCTCATACCATTCAGTAGCACTAGATGGCATTCTATTCTATTCACATTTTCTCAAGTTTTGTCTTCAGCTGCATCCATAAATACTTCATCAGCTTGGACATGTATTTGTAAAACTGGGTTATTTCTTTTCCTGAGTGAGCCTTTATGAAAAACATTATCAGATTATTTTTGAAGTCACAAAACTCAAATTATCCCGGGTCACCTTCAAAGCTTCACTTTCTCAGTGCATTCAAAAGGGTTAGAGGTGACAGTTTCCCCCTGAAGGAAGGGCATCATTCCCTCGGAGGAAATTGCTATACCAGCATTTATTTTTTATTTATTTTCTATTATATTGAAGTTAGTATTGAGAGAACAGCAGCAAGGCTGTAAGCCATATTAAAGTCCCAACATCTTTCTTATTTTTATTTTGAAATTGCTATTCAGTTTTACCTTTTACTTTTGATGGTATGTGCTAAGCACTCCTCAGAAGGGGCTAGAAAAATTGCGTTTGCCCTCAGGACTGTCTGCCAATGGTTAACTGACCAATAGATGGTGGTCACCCCTTGTGCCCTTTATAAACATCCTCCTCAATATCCTCCAGTGTTCTGTTTGTTTCTTCTATATGAATTTTATCTTTGGAACAGGCTTTAAAGATTTAATCAAACCTACACTTTCAAACTTGAAACGCCTTTATAACATCCCTGGCAGTATGTGCCTTGCCTATATTTAAATACTCAAGGGGGCAGGAAATCTCCCTGCCTGTCAAAGCAATCCATTTGAAATAATAGTAGTAATTATGGTGATAATGGCTCACACCAAGCGTTATGTGCCAGGTACATCATAAATTCCTTTATTTGAGTGCTGTCCTGTTTCTTGCTCTCTGAATGCTTTCAACTTTTTTTCTATCCCCCTGTGATGTCCAGAAATAAATAAAAGTTTCCACGTAGGAGTTATCACCTTCCTTGTTTTAGTTTTGATGCTTTTATTGATTCATCCCAACGATGGAAACATTAGAAAAAGTCAAGGGTAATACATTTAAAAATTGAAATATAGTCACAGACAAGATTGAAAATGTCTATTTTAAAAATGCTTTAGATTCCAGTTCTTGAACTACAGCTGAAGGCCCTCAGAACATCAGATCTATAGGTGACGTGACAAACAAAAGTAATCACTTTTCTCTCATCCTGTTCCAGTCTTCAGGGATGTGATTTGACCTTAGATTATTCCTAGCAATTCTAAAGAGAGCTCCATTAATGATATACGTTTAGAGAAAAAAAAACTTTTGTCCAAAAGTGGGCTGAATTAAGTGCTTTTTATTTATATATTTCAGGAAGCTCTGGAACGCAACGAAAGCAAGATTCTTCGTCTGCAGCTTGAACTCTCAGAAACTAAAGCGGAAATTGAAAGAAAGCTTTCAGAGAAAGATGAAGAGATAGAAAAATGTAGGTATTTACAATTATTTTGCTGAGCAACAGTTGCATATTTTAGAATCCTTAACTGAACAGAACCCACTGTGTTTGGCTGCTTTTATGACCCTTGTTGGACTATTACCAAAGAAACAGCCAGTCTAACCCAACACTAGAATCTTTCTAGTAAGCTCAGCACTGTTAATATAAAGGAATACCTCTACACGATTACTATCAGTTTTTTATGATTTTCTTATAAAATTCTTTTTTTTTTTTTTTTTTTTAGCGGTACGTGGCCTCTCACTGTCGTGGTCTCTCCCGGGGCCGCGGGCACGCGCCGCGCAGGCTCAGCGGCCATGGCTCACGGGCCCAGCCGCTCCGTGGCATGTGGGATCTTCCCGGACTGGGGCACGAACCCGTGTCCCCTGCATCGGCAGACGGACTCTCAACCACTGCGCCACCAGGGAAGCCCTTATAAAATTCTTTTTGAGCAGCTTCTACTTGCATACAAGGCTCAAGATAACACACCAAAAAAGAATAAGTATGTGGACAAGGACTGTGTATACTGTCTGGGTTTCCCTACAACAAGCTGCTTTCTTGAGCGTTCAAGACACTGACTGGTAATGCTAAACAGTGGAGGAAAAGAACTAAAAGATGTGATGCTGGGCATTAAAATTAATGTCAGATCAGAGTGAAGTTTCCACATCCTCCCTGCCTGTACCTGTAGCCATTTGTTTGGAGAGGGGCCGAAGCCAAGAGCTAAGCTGCTTATGAATCCCTGTTGAAGCAGCTGAGTCTTAATGGTCAGGAAACTGAATTAAACAGGAATCCTGGGTTGCAGGATCTCGTCTTAGCTTCTCAGTGAAGCGAGGGGATGAAAGCAGCCCCATCCATGTCACAGAAGGTGGTGAGGAAGATCAGTAAGCTGATGTTGGCAAAGCACTTCACACTCTAGATCAAAGGCACAATTATAAACACATGGAATTAGCTATGATTGTATTATGCATCTGATCTGTTCCCTTAAGTCAATGCCGTATGTCAGCATGGAAAAGCATTTTTGAGTCTGAGGTTCAACTGGCAACCTGCTTTTAACGTGTTTGTTAAACAATTAAAAGAAAAAGTTACCATGTTCAGTTGAACTGGCCTCTTACCCATAGCCCATCTTCAGACAAAACTCCCATGGGGGTCATTTTTTTAATGAGGATGTCAAGCCAAATTTGGTCCTCTGTGTGCTTTGAGTTATCTTTGCTTTCACTCACTGGCATTTTCCTCTGTAGGACTGACTGTAGGGGTGAATTCTGGTCTACTTAAGAGGCTCTGAGTCCGTGTGTAAAAGAATTTTTTGTTTTTGATGGAGGGCAAAAACATTGGGCCTTGATATTTGCCCTACTTTCTTCCATGAGGAACAAAAACGAATGTCTCCTTGCGCAGTTAAAAAAAACAACAAAAAACCCCCCCTCGTTTCAGGTAACGTCAAACCTGTGCCTATTAATAAACCCAGCTAAGTACAACTGAACCCTGAGAGTCTGCATCTTGTCAGATACATCTGAATGTCGTAGAGCTGTTCCCCAATTATAATAATTTCAGTGCAAAGGAAGCTGGAGATCCAAACAGCTAGGGCTGGGAGAAGAAAGAACTGAAGACGAGGCAGGAGCTGCGAAGGGGCTGAAAAAAGAAGGGCGGGCTGAAGGGAGGAATAAGCTATTCATGAGTTTTAGTTAATGATTCATAATAACTGTCACAGGTACATCCAGAAAGGAAAGATGAGCATATCTTAACAAAATATCACAAATACCACGCAGACCCTTTCGGTGCGAGTGCCTTGTGCCCGTGGAGATTGGATCACAATGCCTCGGTCAAATCCAAGGGTTTAATCTGACTTCAGGGCTAGGAGAAGATGGGATCTTAAGGAAACTGAAGAGAATGCCAGGGGGAAATACTAGCAAAGCAGACGATTTTGAGCAATCAAGGGTAAACCAGGTAAAATCCAGAACTCAAGGGAAATATTGCCTGAGGGAAAGATGAGGTTCAAGGTCCTCTTTCACATAATCCTTGGGAAGCTCCATAGAAACCGAAGGAGGCCTGAGAAGCAGGACCCGAGAAGCTGAAGGGACCGGGAGGACAGGAGAGAGACGCAGAGGCAGAGGCAAAACCTTGGTAGAGCTGCAAACTGGGTAACTCATTCACTCATTCTCTGCCACCCAGCCCGCTGCTCTTCCATTCGGTGAGGACTGATCCTGTATGAGCCGGGCTGGAAGCCTGTTGGTGGTGAAAGAATGAGCAGCTGGTACACGAGTTGTATGTTTCACTTGCTCAACAGATATCTGAGCGCTTCATGTTGGCAAGACGCTGTGCCTGCTCTTCTAGACGGGGCTTCCCAAACTTTTATGGAGTGTTAGGGCTTTTTTGTTTCCCTACAAATGTTATAATTAGCAGAGCTAGAAGTAGGCAGGTGACAGTGCAGTCACTGCTGGAAGGAGGGGAGGAGCTTTGATGGCCGGCTTTGATCCTTGCCCTCGTCCACACAGGAAAGGAAGAGTGACATCATGGCTCCTTGAAGGCCGGCTGGCGGCCATGACTGCTGTCTAAGTCAGGCCATGCTGCAAGGCCCCAGACTGGGTCGAGAACAAGTTGGTCAGTTGCATCCTGAATCTTCTGGGGCTACTGACTATATACATCCCCCTCCCAACTCAGGGTATTCAAGGAAATGCTGAAATGTGTGGCAGTCTTCTCATTGACCCAGAACCAGGGTGCCCCTGGCCTGCATTCTGCTCTCCCTGGACACACCCAGCGAGGTGCTGTGGAAGGAGCTTTTGGGAATGAGGTATCGAAATGGCTTACTCTATCGAAATGTGCTTGTTTGCTTTGGTTTGATCATCTGTGGAAGGGTTAGATGTATGGGGTCACATGGTAGATATTTTTGGCTTTGCAGGACATAGAGTCTCTGTTGTAGCTACTCAACTCTGCAATTGTAGCTTGAAAGCAGCCATAGACCATAAGAAAGTAAATGGTCATGGCTGGGCCCATAGCCCATAGTTTGCCCACCCCCAGCCTATGGCCTCAGGTACCTGGTAACATTCCGTCATCTTTTCCTTCCATATTGTTCACTCCTCTGAGTTCAGTAATAGCGAACTTTGCCACATGGTCTCAATTTACATGTACTATCCAACTTAATTTCTTGTATTGTTTGAGTCTCTGCCAGAAGAATATGTTTAAATCTCTTCTCATTTCTAAGTAAAATATTTTAGTGCGACTTCAAGAAGTAGCAGCTCAAACTCAGACATGGCATTTAGTTAGCAAAATATCTTGTTAATCACTTTAAAGCCGAATCGCATGTATTAGAATTAAGGAAAATCTTTAATTTCCCTGATATAGACAAGCAACATGGCAAGAGAAAAATATTACTGATTGAATTGACTGTCAATTTAAATCCTTAACTTTTTCAGGTTTTAAAAAAGAACGGTTTTGTTCTTGGTTGCACTTGGTTTCTTTCCTCAAATTGTGTTTCACAGTTCAGAAAAAAAGAGGAAAGAAAGAAAAGGAACTTCTTACCATATTGCCCTGATCCTGACTGCTTCATTTTTCTTAAGAAACGTACTCAAGGAGCTTTCATTTTAAAGATTTCTTGACTCTGCATGGAATGCACTGATTGTTTAGTGGCCATTCTCTAGGCCTGTGTTATACACAAGCCTCTTAAACCGTAGCACTTTCTACTTGTCTGTAGGCACTCATGAAGTTTCATAAACAGCGGTGGAAAAAGTACAGTTTGAAACATTCATTTTGTCTGCCTAAGTAGAATATATCTCTGTGCAGAGGATTTTGACACCAGCTTAGAGACGCCTTAGTGTTCCTGCAAAAGGAGAGTCAGCTGTGACAAAAATGAGTTTCCTTATGTAAGACAGAGCAGTGTCTTAAAGCTTTCAGTGATGCTCAGTGTGTGTCACTGTAGCATTACGGGCTAGGGCTGCCATAACAAAATAGACTGCGTGGCTTAAACAACAGAAATTTCTTTTCCCACATTTCTGAAGGCTGGAGGTCCGCGATCAAATTCCTGGTGAGTCTGGGCCTAAGACCTCTCTCCTGGGCTCACAGGTGGCCAACTTGCTGGGTCCTCACATTTTCTTTACTCTGTGCACACCCATCCCTGTGTCTCTTTGTGTGTCCATATTTCCTCTTCTTATAAGGACATCAGTCAGATTGGATTAGGGCCTACCCTAAGGGCCTCGTTTAACTTAATCACCTCTTTAAAGGCCCTGTCTCCAAATTTACTCGCATTCTGAGGTACTGGGGGTTAGGGGCTTCAACATATGAATTTGGCTGGGGAGGAGGGACAAAATTCAGCCATAACAGTCTCTAGTAACATTACATGCTGGCATTCCTGTAGGATTCTGATCTGGGAGCAGAACAAAAGCCCAGGACCTAAGGATAGGCAGGAGAGGCTGGCCGCAGCATGTGGGAGCCAGGACATGGCGCTGGCAAAGGAGGGGTGCTGACTCTGGAACCAGAAAGAGTTCTTTCCTGTACATTTGCATAACTACTTCTGAAATCTCCGCCCCATCCATGGGGTGAGGGTGGTCACAAAAAGAGGCACCTCCACCTGTCACCCAACGGGAAACTCTGACCACACTCTTACTCCTCTGTAGGCTGTGTGACTTGCTGCTGGCCTCAGAGATCGGAATACAGGCTCAAAGACAACTCAGTGCGGAACCTAATTCTGACTCAAGATGAATATGTGTCTGCTATTTGTGTGCTGATGGGCTCTATGAGTATGTCTTGTCTTATCTGCCCAGTACTAGGCCCTGTTTCATAGGGTGAGCTTAACAGGGCCTGTGTTATAACAATTACACTGTCCTGACTCACAACCACCAAATCTTGATGGCTTAAAATCATCAAAGCTTATTTTTGCTTTGTGTCAGAGTCCAACGTGGGATAGGATGGAGAGTGGGCCACTATCCCAAGTCACTCAAGAGCCCAGGTTCCTTCCATCTTCTGATGCCAGATCATCCATGTGTGGCCACCAAGTTTGCTCTAGATGGGGAAGAGAGAGCACAGGATCACACAAGTAAAAGGCTGTATGTGTGAGGCTTGGAAACACTTCTGCCCATAGTCCATTGGTCAGCATTCAGTCACATGGTCCCAGACTTACTGCAAGAGTGCTAGGAAATGATTGCCTTGGGTTCCCCACAGTTTTTCATTGTCTCTCTGAAAACACATCTATTGTGTAAGCTTCTGTCACTTTGCAAAAATGATTTCAGCATGGACCTTTCATTGTTATAAAGGCATATTGAAGTAATTCAATATTACACAGCAGTTGGTTCTCTCAGCCTATCCTTGGTTGTACTCCCAAACTCCTGGAGAAAGATAACCATGCTATTCTAGGGGAATTTGGTGTCACAGGCTGTTAGAGCAGGATTGCTGGCGATCAGGACTTATTCCAACCTGGGTGGCTCTTTCTTGCTGTGTTCAGACATGTTTCACTGTTGAAAGTATTTAAATATTATGCCTGTCTGAAAGTGCATCCTTCCTTCACCCTTAGCCACTCTAGGGAACCTAGACCGTCCTGGAGGGGGTCTTAGATAAGGCGAAGACTGCCCCACAGGAACCTCAAAAAGATTCTGGTGCTTTTCTTGATTTTTCCGGGAAGTTGGTCTAGAAATGATGGACATTAGTCTGTTATGATGGACAAATGCTCACTGACCTAACCCTTCCATCTCCATGGTTTCCAAATGAAGACCCTTTAGACTCATTTTGTTAATTACACAGAATTTTTCTTGAATTTTAATTTTTTATGATTTCTAAACAGTTGTGTGTACAAAGCAGGTAACCTTTCTTAATTTGGGTGTATGATTTTTCCCCTGAATGTTATTCTAAAATTAGGAGGAAGCAGCAGTGTGCTATTGACTCCCTGCAGTCGAGTCTAGATTCTGAAGTTCGGAGCAGAATTGAGGCCACTGGGCTGAAGAGGAGCATGGAAGGGGACCTCACTGAGACGGAACTCCAGCTCAGCCGTGTCAACCGCCAGGTGTCAGAGGCAACCAAATCCCTGGGCCAGCTTCAGATCCAGATCAAGGTATTTTCAATTGCAATGCAGGGGTGAGGCAGGGATGTCTCTGCTAATGGGACCAAACCAAGTGGCAGGTTGTGTTGAGCAATAAACGTGAGGACAACAAATCTAATCCTTTGGGAGAGCAGGAAGATGCTTACGTTGAATCGCTGGGGCTTGTTCAGAGCACGCATGCGTAAGCGCAGGTCCCACTGAACTGCCAGGGGTCCGCATACCCCGTGCGTGTTTTCTCTCACAGGACCTTCAGGCGCAGCTGGAGGACAGCACATGCCTGAACAGTGAGCTGAAGCAGCAGATGGCGGTGGCCGAGCTGTGCAACGCTCTTCTCCAGGCTGAACTCGAGGAGCTGAGGGCCTCGCATGAGCAGACAGAATGCAGGCGCAGGCTGGCGGAGGAAGAGCTCCTGAAAGCCACAGGAAAAAAATCAATCTTTTCCACACCCAGGTGGGGCCCGTAAACTCGCCATTAGCCATGTCAGCTGGTGGGAAGCAATGGATCCACACTGGTTGGCCTAGGACGGTACACGGTTGCCACGTGGAGCCTTGCAGGTGGCCGGTGAAGCAGGGAGAGCCTTTGGCAGCAGAGTGGCAGTCTCAGCCTTCATTCATCCCCAGGTGCATTGGTTCCCTAGGGCTGCAGCAGCCAAGTTCCCAAACTGATTACAGAAATGTAATCTCTCACAGTTCTAAAGGCTAGAAGTCCGAAATCACAGCATTGGCAGGGTCGTGCACCCTCTGAATCTTGCAGGGAGTCCTTCCTTGCATTTTCCCAGCTTCTGGTGGTTTGTTGGCAATCACTGGTGTTCCGTAGCTTATAGATACGTCACTCCAATTCACCTCCTTCACGTGGCATTTTCTCTGTGTCTTAACATCATCTTCCTTCTGTATCTGTCATTGTCCAAATTTCCAAATTTTTATGAGGACATCAGTCATATTAGATTTGGACCCACTCTAATGACCTCATTTTAACTTGACTACCTCTCTAAAGACCCTATTTCCAAGTAAGGTCACATTCTGAGGATTGGGGGTTAGGACTTCAACATATGTTTTTTGGGGGAGGGACACAATTTGAACCAAAACACTAAGCCCTGCCAGAAGAATGAACTGTCAGGGTACTCATAGCTAGGATGCTGGGGAGAGAGAGAGGAACATTCGCTAGTGTTCCAGAATCATTTGCCTGCGTCTCCTCTTCCTGCTAAGCCATGTATTCCCCGAGCATCCCAGGATTCGAAATAAATGCTCCTGCTTCAGAGCCAGGAGATTTCAAACAATTCTGAGTGGCTACTGACAGATATGATGAACTGTCAGGACTCTGGCTTCTCATGGAAGGTTATGTAAGTGACACAAAGCAAGAATTCTTAAATCGTTGCCATTCTCATGGAATCAGGAGAAGCCATAGTGGCTAGGACAAAAGCTGGATAAACATTTTTAGGGCACCCACCGTAAGCTGAACAGGTATGCATGGTATAGACAGATGCAAAATATCTCCATCGTCCTAAAAAGGTGGAGATCTAAGTTAACACACTGCAGTGCACTGCTGGGATTGTAGTGATAAAGCAAGCACACCCCTACAGAAAGCCTTCCCTGATGATCCTAGACTTAGGTAGATGCACAGTACGCTTAATCTGAGTCATGAAGGACATGGAAGAAGTCAGCCAAGCAGAGAGAAAAGTCAAGGGCAGAGGCACGGGGAAAAGAGGGAATTTAGGATGTTAAGGAAAATTGATATACTTACTATAGCATACAGTAGAGGGTAGGAGAGATCAGCAGAATTGATGCTAAGGGAGAGGCATGTAGAGCCAGGTCACCAGGGATCTTGATTTTGAGACTGATGGAGTTTGAATTCTGTCATGCAGCTAATGGGGGTCTGCTGAAGAATTGTGAGTAACTGGGAGGGAAGTTATTAGATTTGCGTTTTAGGAAGTTTACTCTGGTGATTGTTGTGAAGGATGGATTAATGCAACTAGGGGCAGATGTGCCATGCTCTGGGATATTTAGAAACATCTGTGGGATCATTTTGGTTGCCATAGAGACTGGGAAGTACCACTGACATTTAGTGGGCAAGGTCCAAAGATACTAATGCTCCCGCAAGATACAGGATAACTCAACATCCCAAAGAATTGCCCCTCCCAGAATGCCAACTGTGACCCCACTGAGAAACACTGGATAAAAGGAAGGATTAATATAAACCAAAGATGTACCTGCTGGAAGGCAGTGCATTTAGTTTGTGCCTACAGTTTGTGCCCATGTGCATGACACGATCCTATTAGGATACCATGTGGTAGAAAACAAATAGGCTATACGTTATGCATAATTCCCAACAGGCTAACTTACTTCAATATTTTCTTTATCTCTCAAGAAAACTTAACTAAATACAATGAGTGGGAATCTTATAAAGTAGAATATTGAATTTTTAAAAAGTAAATCATTCAAAAAAAAAAAAGTAAATCATTCACTGTCTGTAGTACTTAATATCTATTGGTAACAAATTATTTGCCACGCATGTTATAACTGATGAGATACCAGTGGGTCCCAGTATGATGAAAAACCACTAGCCTAGAGAGAGATAAGGACATCAACCAGAGCAAAAGCAGACATAGAGAGAAGGAGATAGATTTGAAAAACAAGAAAGAAAATTAGGTAATAGCCCTGATCTCCAGAGCAGAGTTTCTGAAACTTTATGCGTACAAGAGAAACTAACACAAAAATGCACATTCTCAGGCCTCATCCCAGACCCACTGAATCAGAATCTCTGCAGTAGGAGGAATCAAACGAGTTTTCAGGTGATGCTGCCAGTGCAGAAACTACCCTTTGAGCAGCTCTGGCCTAGGTGACGTGTTGCTCACAAAGGACTTCTCCCCCACCTTAGCCATTGGTGGCCCCCTTGCAATTACTGGAACACCGTCAATCTTCTGATTGACATACAATGAGTATTTTCTAGAACCTTCTGCATCCCCAGATTTCTAGCCTGGAACAAACATATGAGGCCAAACTTATCCTTGTCTAATTGCATGTGTCCTTTTTCAAACCTGAGCTGTGACAATCTAGATTGCTCTTCTGCACAATACTCCCTCACCTGCTGCTTCCCAAACCGAACCAATCATTCAGCTTGAAATGATTTTAACCATCAACTCCCTAGCAGATTTTAAATGATTCTAGGTATAAACGAATCACCATTTATATTGTACCTTTCTTTACAAAGAAAGAGTTCCTATGGAGTTATGTGCAGTGAGCATCCCAGCATACTCCAGGAAATACCCTCATCCCTCCAGGCCACGCCCATGGCAGTGGGAGGCCTGAGGCACACAGAGCCTGGCTCTCCATAAGGACAGAGGAGGCAACCTTGATGAAGATGCTTCACGCCATCAGGGAAGTAGGGTAGAACCTGTGAGGCTGGAATTTCTCTCTTCCTATTTCCAAAGGCTTAATCTTGCCACTGAGAGAGGTACTAGCTAGAGGAAAAGTGAATGAACAGAAGAGAAATTAAAAATAGGAAGGCTATGCCTTTTAAATACATTCTCTATGCTAAGATTTCACACCCTCAGAAAAACTGTGCTACAAACACAGACCAAAAAGGAGTTTCAGCCTCTAATGTCACAACCCAGGAAGGAAAGGATTAGGGCAGCGTCAGCCAAGGAACACAAATAATCCTCCAGTGTAATGGAGGTTTCTCAGGCCTGGGGGATGAGGCTCATCTAAATTGCTTTGCCCACCCCCTCACTGCAAAATTAATAGAAGCAGAGGTAGATAGTGAGGAAGATGTTCTTCCCCTGGAGCAGCATGCAGGAAACTGAGTTTTATTCCCTAAACCCCTGCTTTCCACATGTCTGCTTTTGACCCTGACTTCTGCTCTGGGACACTTGCTCCTTCCCCATCAAAGAGCAAAAGGCAGAAAAACATATTCCTCAGCCAGCTGAAAACCAAACACATGTTTGGGGCTTGTAGGTTGTCTGGGTCCATTTCTCCTTTCTGACTCAGGCTGTCATCTCTCCAGTACTAAACCTCTAATGGATGAGATCCCTTGCATTCAAGTCTAATGTGGTCTCCTGGGCCTGGAAGTATGGCTTCATGAGTGTGGCTGAGGAGAGGAAAACACACTTCTGGCCAGAGCCCCTCCCATTGCATGTCCTGAACAGACCAGCTTGCCTTTGCACCAATGATCTCAACTTGCCTAATGAGGATGTTGCTTTTCCTTAGAACACGAGTCTCCTCAGCCAGAAGAAGGAACTGGAGGTTGATGTTGCCAGGATGCAGAAGGAAGCTGAAGAGGCGATGCGAGGGTGTCAAAGTGCAGAAGAGAAGGCCAAGAAGCCACCTACTGAGGTGGGTCCATTGACTGTCTGCTTACTCCTGTCTTTCAGAGTTGATGGGAGCGGTAGCCAAGGGGCAGGTGCTAAGCTGCAGACAAAAAGGATTCCATTGATTCTCCATATAGCTAGCGGGAAGTTAGCTGACCCCTCTGCCTCTGTCCCCATTTTGAAAAATTAGGCCAGCTGGCTCATCCCTTCCACCCTGTCCACACAGTGAAAAGGAGCAGCTGAATTGCCATAGGCAAAATCTTATGAAAGCAAGAGATTTTTTAAAAAGTTAATCCACTTTCCACTTGCGAATCAATATATCTAGTGTCTAGAAACAATTCCTCTTGTGTTTCCTTACCCATAGCTATTTTTCCTGGGGTCCGTAATAGCTTTATGATGATCTGCAAAGAATGCTTATTTCACTTATTTTTTTAAAAAAATTATTTATTTATTTACTTATTTTTGGCTGCGTTGAATTGAGTCTTCATTGCTGTGCATGGGCTTTCTCTAGTTGCAGTGAGCGGGGGCTGCTCTTCATTGCGGTGCGTGGGCTTCTCATCGCAGTGGCTTCTCTTGTTGCAGAGCACGGGTTCTAGGCATGCAAGCTTCAGTAGTTGTGGCACACGGGCTGCAGAGTGCAGGCTCAGTTGTTGTGGCGCACGGGCTTAGTTGCTCCACGGCATGTGGGATCTTCCCGGACCAGGGCTTGAACCCATGTCCCCTGCATTGGCAGGTGGATTCTTAACCACTGCGCCACCAGGGAAGTCCCTATTTCACTTATTTTTTACAGCCCATACTATTGCTTCAGTAACAGAGTCAGGTTGGTGAAGGAGGGCTTCAGGATTGGTGTTCCTTCCTTATCTGCAAGTTTAAAATTGTTGATAGTGGTATTTTTCCTGAATGAGACTAAGCTCAGGGTTGGCTGCCTTGGCTGCACCTTTGTGGGAACTGGAAAAAGACACCTGCTGGACCCCCACTGTGGGTAGATGCAGACTTCTCTCAAAAGGCATGACAAGCAGAAGACAATACTTAGCAAAAAAAAAAAAAAAAAAAAAAATGTCATGGAGGAGGGAGGTGAGGAGAAGTCTGTGTGTGAAGAACCCAGCCTTGCAAATGCCAGTGCTTGCTGAGCAGAGCTTGGGCTTGATTCCAGCCTCCACCCACTCCATCCCCATCAGGTGGTCTGTGTAGTCCATCAGACACACAAACACACGCAGCAGCCCTGACCTCGCCCTGTGAATGAAAACTGATGCTCTCGCTAAAAAGTGTATGGGAATCGAGGAGACAAGATATTCAATTCGATTTTACATTAGTCATTTTAAAATTCAAGAGGAGGGAAAAGCTTACTGAGTTATTTAGCATTTGGGGAGCTAAACAAAACCTTTGCACCAAATCCTAGCTACCAGCTCACTATAGAATCCAAAAGAATGGGGAAGCGTGCCTAGCACTCAGCCATTTTGTATCAAAGCAGACGCTTTCTGATGGAAAAGAGGTGTGTGAAAGCTTAAAAGCATTTGGCCAAGGAAAAAATAATATGCTTAACATTCACGAAAATCCACATAGATAGAAAGGAATTAAAAGAGCTTTTACTCCTGATTGGTAGGTATATGCAGTCACACGTTAGGAAGACTCTATCTGCATAACCTCACCTTTATAAGATTTCCTTGGCAATGCTGAGAAATGAACTCACTACCTCTTTCCTCGCTTTAATCCTCCAATAGTTCAGCTGTGAGTTCCAGCCCCACATAGCAGAACCCAGTTACCTCCGTCATTCATTCTTTGCCCCCACCATCTACACAGACGTCTCACACTTAAATTATACAGATGGTTGGTAACCTGATAGACAGAGAAACTTTGTCTGGGAGGGCAGTGTTCTTACATTAAAGGCACTGAGAGAGTCATGAAACAGTTCTTAACAACTGCAGCAAGACACCAAGCCCTTAGTATACATAGCCAAAGCCAAGAGTGGGCTTCACAAGAATTAACCCTCCTTGTGCCAGATTATTGGCACTGAGAGCCTCAGTTGCTACCAAATTCCTGGAGCCTAAATTTGTTTGTAGTTGCGAATCACAGAATTATAGAAGTGAGACGTGAAAAAGGTTCTCATAGGCACTCCACGTGTTTCCTGGTGCATGATGTTACAGGACGCGTCGTGGTGCTTTACTCAGTTAAAAGCTGTACCTTCAGTTGGTCATCTTTCTTTCAATACAGGTGTTGTATAATAATATTCACATGGTGTTTCATCTCTGGTCTGTTTCCACACCCCTCACCCTAATCTCCAGTAGCTGCTGCTATCGTGATTGCCTTCTGGTTAACAAACTCGAGGGCCGCAGAGGTTAGGGAGAGCGTGGTAGGAAAAGATTGAGTACGCAGAGGCAAGGCATGGCACCCAGTCACATCAGGAGCAGAAGACTGTGGGTAGAAATGTTAAGCTTGATTGGCTGCTGGACTGTCTCAGTCCCTTTCCTTCTTTTCTAGGTAGCAAATGTGTCAGAAGAACTGAAGAAGGAGCAAGATACCAATGCCCGCTTGGGGAGGATGAGAGAGAACATGGAGCGGACAGAGACTTACAGGAAAGGCTGGATGACGCTGAGCAGACTGCCGTGATAGGGAATAGAAAGCAAAGCCAGAAACTCGAATCCAGGGTAGGAGTTCACCTGCATAATCATGGGGTCTTGACAACTCCCAGTTCGAAGCCTTATTGTCCCGTAATATCACACCAGATAGTCCCTGCCTCCCTCCTCACTTTTGCTTGTAACATGTTCAGATCTTTGACAGTGTCAGAGCTCAGTATACTCTTTCACTCTTTTTGACTTTGGGCCACTAAATAGGACTTTTCTTGGACTGGGTGCAATCCGCCATCCTGCTAAGTGACAATGCGGTACCTCCCGCTCACCTGCACCAGCTCTAGGGCTCCCCACAGCCAGGGAGACCAACTGTTTCCAAACACACCCTCGCAGTCTTGCTTCTGTGCCTTTGCTCCTGTTATTTCCTCTGTGGAGAATGCCCGTCTCCTAACAGCCAGAGAAAGGGGAGGGAAATAACTAAATCAAGGATCAAAAAAGACTTGGTGAAAATATAGTAAGGCCTGACAGAAATGATGTAGTACCTGCCTTTAGGGAGCTCAAAAATAAATAGGAAGACCTAGCTTGAAAATAGGATTTTTAAAATTATTGAATCAATTTCAGTGACACCGTCATGTGTCATGTGACAAATGCTATAAGGATGGAAAGAATATTTGACTGGGATTTCATGGTTCAGAAGGGCCCCTGAAAAATAAAGTATTGCCTTTGCACATTTATGGTATATCCGTATAATGGAATACCAATGCACATTTATGGTACATCCATATAATCACACTGATTAGGAGCGAGGAAGAGCTCTGTAATGTCCTGGAGATCATGGCTAGTGGTATAATGATGATAAAAGGTACAGGCGATGTTGAGGGTATACAAACTTCTGTGCAAGAAAGAGGGGAAATATGAAGACATGTACACATTTGCTTGTATTTTCAAAAAGAAGTGGTGACAGAATAAAACAAGGACTAATAAAAACAATTACTCATAGGAGGAGAACACAGAGATAAAAGCTAGACCTTCTGAATGCAACTTGCATAGTTGGTGTGATTGCAAAATCATATGAAACACACCCTCCCCCTTCAACCCCCTAACCCGTGTGCTGCTTTATTTCTCTCCATACCACTTATCACCATCTAACATAGTCTGTATTTTACTTTGTTTCATTTGGTGTTTCCCTTCCTTAGAATGGATGCTTATAGAGGGGAGAGATTTTTGTCTGTTTTGTTCCCTGCTGTATCCCTGGCCCTGGTGTCTGGTGCATAGTAGGCAACAAATATTTGTTGAATGAATATTATGTTAACCTTGGTTGTATAACTGAAAGGCTGTAGGCCAGCTGTTCATCTGCACTACAGCTCTCCCACAAGGCAGGGCTATGGGGCTGTGGGTGACATATGTGTGACAGAAACTCACAGTCGGATTTCTTTAGAGAGTCAGAGCTTAACATGGAGAAAGTAGCTTAAGATGAGGCAGTACATTGGCTGAATTCTTAAAGAGTGTTATATATAGCTTATTCTCTCTATATACACTACGTACACTCGTAATACACACGTGTGTGTCATTTTGTAATCCAAGAGGGGAAGTTTATCACCTCTGCATGGATTAGCCTTTCACATCCTTGAGTCTAAACAGCCCTTTTATGAGCTCACATAGTTCAGCCAGCTCACTTTTGGCAAGGCGGTTTTCCCAGAGAGTTTGCCCTGTTTCACCACGGCCAGAATGAGAGGGCACCCATCTTCCCTGATGGTGGCACTATTTCAAACGCTCGTGCCGACAGGCAAATGCAATGCCCGCCTGGCTTGCTGGCTGCCCGCCTGTAATCTGAGACCGTGGTTTGCTTGCAGGTCCGTGAACTGGATGGTAAACTGGAAAGCGAAGTCCGAGGCATCGCGGAGGCCCAGTGGGGAGCCCGCAGGTTTGAGCGATGCATCAAAGAGCTGACGCACCAGGTACTCCAGAAAGCCACTCCCTGTTCCCCTGGCTGCACTCTACCCTGGGCTCCTTCAAGTCTGAAACGACCCCCTAGGTGTTCTGTAGTTCGCTCTCCATCTTTGGTCTCCTTCAGCAGGAGACATCAACCTGCCCTTCCAGGGCTCCTGTGCTGTTATTGGTTTGGGGTAGTCCCTTTTCAGAGCTCTCAGGAAGCAAAATGTGAGCAGCAAGTTGCAATTAGAAGGGAAAAGCTATTTATACTCTCCTTGTTTTTTTCACACATAATGTCTGCAAGCACTTTCAGAAAGACGTCTTCCTGTGAGAGGCTGAGTGAGAACAATGTGTAAATGAAGTGACTGGCAGAGACGGGGAAGGGGGCGGGGGGGTGACTCAGCCAGCAGGTTGCATGGGACGGACGCTAGCTTAATTGGAGCAGGGGACATTTCCACTCTTGTTTTCTGGCCGCATGAACACTCCAGGCCACCGAGGACTCTATCTGGTGCTGGTGCCAGGTGGAAACACAGCAAATGCTGAGAGGCCCCTGCAGCTTTCTGACTGTTTCCCTGTAGACTAGCCTTGGTCTAAGCAAATAACTGAAAAGAGGTGGGCAGACTTCTTAGAGTACTGTATTGTAACTAATGTATTGCCAAAATAACAACGTACTCCTTCACTTGTGTTTTCATTTTCTAGCCTTTCCTCCCTTTTCTTCAGATGGAGAAGACCAGAGATTCCATGGTAGCAGAGGCACAGTCTCGCTCACCACTCTGGGCCCAGCACCTTCCTAGCACAGTGTAAGTGCACGTGTTTCAGTTGTTAAACACAGATGCCAAAGGTCACTTTCTAGCCCTCTCCGCTGCACAGTACGGCTTGTTCCAATGAAAAGGCAAACCCATCCTAGGCGCCTGCTTTACAGCAACTTGGACAGCACTCACGCAAGATCTGCTGGTCCTGATGCTGGTCCCTGAGGTTGAGTTGGTGTCAAAGACATCAAAGTCTTCCTTCCTTGCAGTAGGAAGGATAGTGTTGATAAGAAAGCAGAACGCTTCAGAAGCATCATCTTAGGCTAATTAAGATGAAATGAAATGAGCTATTTGCACAGTTCTTCTTTGCTGAATAAGTGGTTCTTTTCTAAGGCGGGTCAGTCTGACACTGGGGAATGTGCCCATGGAATGTGTGGCTGAGGAAGTAAACACCTGGGGAACATGAAAGGTGTGCTATTCTACTCTTTTTTTGAGCAAGGATAAAACACGAGGAAGCAAAATGCTGCTTGTTAGTTATGTCTGGCTTTTTCTTTCTATTTTCCTATGGATTATTCTTACAGTTTTCTTCTGTAAACAGGTTCATCATACAACAATGCACCAAAGCTATACTTTCTTTGGTTTCTGTTGTCCCAAGGAATACAATCTTATTCTATTGTATTTTTATCTTTGTTTCTTGGTAGCCATAATCTTAGTGTTTCCCTTGTACTAGTATGGTGGTGTATTTCTTGATTTCTTCCAAGTGTCTGCCCAATGTTTAGAGTATATCTATTCAATTATGCAGTGATTTTCTGCCATCAAGTCAGATAATACCTATTGAGTACCTTTTTATGCAAGATAACAGGCTAGACCCTGTCAGCTTAAAGAGACATTAGAGAGCTCTCCACGTTCTTTGATATCAATGCCTGGTTTTGAAATGTTCAAGGTAGATGTTGAGTCAACTCAATCTGTTCTCCTTTAACATCAAAATAACCATCAGGACTATGAGGCAGGGTGTTTAGTGACAGTACATTGTAGATGCCATTGTGAAATGTCATTTTGAAAGGGACATAAATACGGTTTTCCTTTCCTAGGAAAAATCCTCCAGGAAGATCATACTGTATTGGAAAAGGGAATCAAGTGTCACCCCATCCACAACAGTTCTATGGCCAGTCCCCACTGAGCATTTATCTTCCCCAATATGTCCCTCTAGCATCTGGAAATTCATCCTATTTTCCTCTCCCCAGTGTCTAAAAAGGTATGCTATAAAGCAGGACATAGGATTAGGAACCTGTACTCGTTATAGAAGGTAAAGACAGTTTTCCTCTCCTCCTCCCACCTTTCCATCCACCTGCTCCATGTTACCTTTGTCTGCTTCCTATATTCAGGGATCTGTGTGTAGATGTTATTTAATCCTTACCAATCTAAATATGGATATAGTATCTTCGTTTCTAGGGATAAGAAAAAAAAATTTAGTCTTGGGTGTGTTCTCCAGGAACCAGATGCCAGGATGGGGCTAAAGTACAAGAGATTTATTGGAGGTAACACCTGGGAAGAGCAGAGGGGAGAGCAAGCAGGCTGAGGCAGAGGAAGCTTTCAGAGCACCTTGCGAGTCTGACACCTGTGAAAGGAAAGGGTGAAGGAAGGAGGATGGGATAAAAGGAGCCTCCGGTTGCAGTGCAGCTCTGGGCAAGTCTCCAGCACATAGATTGCTGTAAGAAGTCCGATGCTGGGCAAAAATGCCAGCTCCTGGTAACTTGGCTGTGCCCCACTATCGGCTGGGGATGCTTGGGAAGTGTGTGATCTCAGTATAAATGCTACAGCAGATCCCAAAGGCACTGCAGTTGGAGGGTTTCAGGTACCTGCACTCCTCACAGCTGAGTGGCAGGTTGTTTTCTTGAAGGGAAATCTGAGCCCTGCACAACTATGGCAACCACAGTTACTTAATGCCTTGGAGGGAGCTGAGATGTGAACCTAAACCTAACAGAGGCTTTGCCTCCCCACGTGGGGGGAACATTAATATCAGCAGCCACCTAGCCTTTTTCAGTTTTCTTCTGTGTGGCCTCCTTTACCACACTGTAAATTTACTCACCTGAGTAAATTGGTTTTAAGCAGTTAAACCTCTATTGGGTTTGGAATTCCCTATGACCACATAATTCTATGAGTCTTCAAGTTTCTTAAACCTGAGAGTTAGAGAGCTAGGCGGATTAAAACAAAGAGGGATTTTATTTATAAAGTAGATATCTCATTTCCCCAGTCAGGTTATTTCTTATATATTGGCCCCTGCCTTAGGAAGTTTAACATTAGTAATTAATTATCTACTATCAGATTATACTTTAAGGTGGGAGTGGGGGAGGAGTGCTCTAGGCAACACAAAGAGTTGGTTAAACCAAACTCTCCTTCCTCCCTCCCTTCCTTCATATATATATATATATATATATATATATATATATATATAACAGATAACATTTTATCACTTTGGGGTGTACAACTTAATGATTTGATATATGTTTACATTGCAATATGATTATTACAACAAGTTTAGTTAACACCCATCACCCCACATAGTTGCAAATTTTTTTTCTTGTGATGAGAACTCTTAAGATCTATTCTCTTAGCAACTTTAAAATATACAATACAGCATTGTTAACTATAGTCACCATGCTCTATATTACATTCCCAGGACTTATTCATCCTATAACTAGAAGTTTGTACCTTTTGACCACAATCACCCATTTCCCCCACCCCCAATCACCCCCCTGGCAGCCTCTAATCCGTTCTCATATTTATGTGAGTTCAGTTTTTTAGATTCCACATATAGATGAGATAATATATTGTCTTTCTCTGACTGATTTATTTCACCTATTATAATGCCCTCAAGATCCATCCATGTTGTCACAAATGGCAGGATTTCCGTCTTTTTTATGGCTAAGTAATATTCCTGTGTGTGTGTGTGTGTGTGTGTGTGTACACACATACCACATCTTCTTTTTCTGTTCATCTGTTGATGGATACTTAGTTTGCTTCCGTATTTTGGCTACTGTAAATACTGTTGCCATGAACATGGGGGTGAAGATATCTTTTTTGAGATAGTGATTTCATTTCCTGCAGATAAATACCTACAAGAGGAATTGCTGGATCATATGGTAGTTCTATTTTTACTTTTTTGAGGAAACTCCATACTACTTTTCATAGTGGCTACACCAATTTGCATTCCTACCAAGAGTGTACAAGGACTCCTTTTCTTCACATTCTCACCAACACTTGTTATTTCTTATTTTCTTGGTGATAGCCATTCTAACTAGTGTGAGATGATATCTCATTGTGGTCTTGATTTGCATTTCCCTGATGATTAGTGATGTTGAGTACCTTTTGATGTACCTGTTGGCCATTTGTATGTTTTTTTTGGAAAATTGTCTATTCAGATCATCTATCCATTTTTAATCAGGTTTTTAATTTTTTTGATATTCAGTTGTATAATTTCTTTATTTTTTTAGATATTAACCTCTTCTCAGATAAATGATGTGAAAATATTTTCTCCCATTCCACAGGTTGCCTTTTCACTTTGTTGATAGTTTCCTTTGCTGTATAGAAGTTTTAAAGTTTGATGTAGTCCCACTTGTTTATTTTTGCTTCTATTGCTTTTGCTTTTGGCATCAAATAAAAAAAAAAAATCCTTGTCAAGACCAATGTCATGGAGCTTACCCTCTGTGTTGTCTTCTAGGAGTCTTATGATTCCAGGTCTTAGATTCAAATTTGTATCCATTTTGAGTTCATTTTTATGTATGGTGTAAGATAACGGTCAAATTTCATTCTTTTGCATATGGCTGTCCAATTATCCCAACACCGTTTATTGAAGAGGTGGCTGTCTTTTCCCCATTATATATTCCTGACTCATTTGTCATAAATTGGCCATTTATATATGAATATTTCTGGGCTCTCTATTCTGTTCAGTTGATCTACATGTCTGTTTTTATTCCAATACCATACTGTTTCAATTACTATACCTTCGTAATATGTTTGAAATTTAAATCAGGGAGCATGATGCCTTCAGCTTTGTCCTTCTTTCCCAAGGTTGCTTTGGCTATTCGGGGTCTTTTGTGGTTCCATTCTATTTCTGTGAAAGGTGCCATTGTAATTATGGTAGTGATTGCATTGACTTTGTAGATTGCTTTGGGTAGTATGGATATTCTAACATTAATTCTTCCAATCCATGAGCACAGAATATCTTTCCACTTATTTGTGTCTTCTTCACTTTCTTTCATTAATGTCTTATAGTTTTCAGTGTGCAAATCTTTCACTCCTCTTGGTTAAATTTATTCCTAAGTATTTTATTCTTTTTGTTGCAATTATAAATGGTATTGTTTTCTTAATTTCTCTTTGTGATAGTTCATTTTAGTGTACAGAAACATAACTGATTTTTGTATAATGATTTTGTATCCTGCAAATTTACTGAATCCTTTTATTAGTTCTAACAGTTTTATTGAAGTCTTTAGGGTTTTCTATACAAAATATCATGTCATCTGTAAATAGAGAGACTTTTACTTCTTCCTTTCCAATGTGGATGCCTTTTATCTCTTTTTCTTGCCCAACTGCTCTGACTGGGACTTCCAGTACTATGTTGAATAAAAGCGGCAAGAATGGACATCCCTGTATTGTTCCTGATCTGAGAGGGAAAGCTTTCAGTTTTTCTTCACTGAGTATTATGACAGGTTTGGGTTTGTCATATATGACCTTTATTTACTATGCTGAGGTATTTTCCCTCTATATCTACTATGTTTAGAGGTTTTATCATAAATGAATGTTAAATTTTGTCAAATATCTTTTGCTGACATTTTTGAGATGATCATATGATTTTTACCCTTCATTTTGTTAATGTGGTGTATCACATTTATTGATTTGCAGATGTTGAACCATCCTTGCATCACTGAAACAAACCCTACTTGATCATGGTGTATGATTCTTTTAATGTATTGTTGAATTCAGTTTGCTAATATTTTTTGAGGATTTTTGCATCTATATGCATCAGGGATATTGGCCTATAGTTTTCTTTT